TTCAGTTCCTCTAATTTTTCCTCATAGCTGAGCTCCTCCATGCCTCTTATCAGTTTGGTTGCCCTTCTCTGTACTTTCTCCAGTTCCCCAATGTTCTTTTTGTGAATTGGTACCCAAAATTGAACTGCATATTCCAGATGAGGTCTACTAATGGTTTGTACAGGGGTAATATGATATCTCTCTCTCTGGAGTCTGTACCTCTTTTAATACTAGAAAGGATTTTGCTTGCTTGGCATTTCATGCCATTATTAAGCTTGTGATGTACCAGAACTCCCAGATCCTTCTCAACCATTGATTCCCCCAGTTGTGAGTTAGTCTATCAGATATATCAAACTGGATGTCACACCACTTCCTAAAACTCAATCTATCCAAAACTGAGCTCATCATATTTCCTCCCCCATGTGCCTCTTCCCCTGTATTCTTGGTCAGGATCAACAGCATCATTATCAACCCATCCCCGCATGCCAGAGTGCTAGGGGTAACCCTGGATTCTGAACTATCCTTTCAGGCCTACATCCAATCCCTGTCCAAATCATGCTGTCTCAACCTCCGCAACATCTCCAGAATACGCCCCTATTTAACCAATGGTACCACAAAGCTCCTAAGTCACTCCCTGGTTATCTCTCGCCTCGACTAATACCTTTACATGGTAAGCCAATGAGGCTATCCTCCCTCCAATCCATCATGAATACTGCTGCCAGGCTCATACACCTTACCAACCATTCAGTGTCTGCTATCCCTCTCTGCCAATCCCTCCACTGGCTTCCATTCGCCCAACAAATACAATTCATAATACTAACAACAACTTACAAAGCCATCCACAACTCTCCCCCCCCCCAGCAACCTGGTCTCAAAATATCATCCAAACTGCTCCCTTCGATCCTCCCTTCGACCTTCTGTTCTCTAGTTCCTATGTCACCTCTTCCCATGCTGCCTCCAGGAATTCTACCGAGCTTCTTCCATCCTATAGAACTCCCTACCCCAATCTGTCTGGCTATCTCCTAATCTATCCACCTGTAGATGATCCCTGAAAACCTTTCTCTTTAACCACTTTCCCTCTTGAGGATTTACCCTGCTTCCTGACCAGGCCTCCTTTTGCTATTGCACTATTTCAACTGGTAATTGCGCGGCCATGCAATGCTGCACCCAAATGAAATTTATGTCCTTTTTTCAAACAAATTGAGCTTTCTTTCGCTGGTATTTGATCACATGTGCGCTTTTTATTTTTCACGCTATAAACAAAAAAAAACAAAAATTTTGAAGAAAAACTATATTATTTACTTTCAGCTATAAAAAATATGTAGTAAACTCAAAGTTAGTCATAAATATAGGCCAAAATGTATTCTGCTATATGTTTTTCGTAAAAAAAAAAAAAAAAACAATAAGTGTAAATTGATTGCTTTGTGTGAAAGTTGTAGTGTCTACAAACTATGGTGTAGATACTGCAATTTACACCATTTCTTGTTATACAGCGCTGCACTAGTTTAACTGACAATTGCACGGTCATGCAATACTGTACATAAATTAAATTTATGTCCTTTTTTTCACACAAATATAGATTTCGTTCGGTGATATTTGATCACCTGTGCACTTTTTATTTTTTGCACTATACACAAAAAAAAGTCCGAACATTTTGAAAAAAACAATATTTTCTCATTTCTGTCATAAAAAATATCCAAAAAACTCAAATTTTGTCATAAATTTAGGCCAAAATGTATTCTGATACATGTTTTTGGTAAACAAAATCCCAATAAGTGTATATTGATTGCTTTGTGTTATAGAGTCTACAACAGGGCTTAAAATTTCGAGTCTAGACCTACTAGCTAGGCACAAACCTTACTCTCCACCAGTCCACCAGTTGCCCCACCCAACCTTGCCCAGGTCTGCCTCCAACCCCACCCCCGGCCCTTCCCCCAACCTTGCCCCTAGCCCTTCCCCCAACCATACCCCCTTAAAGCTTAAAAGTAGAAAACATGCACAGTGTGCATATCCTGGCAGTCTGTAATAATTACAGACTGTCAGGATATACACACCTTGTATGTTTTCTACTTTTAAGTCATGCATTGTTGTACTGCAGCTCAACCTCACTGAGTCTTTCGATTCTTTTTATCAAAAAATAATTTGTTGCAATAAACATTTATTGTTTTATACCTGTGTACACACTTTTTCAAAGTCCCAGGGGGATATTTCCATAATTGTTGTCTGTTTCAATATTTGGGATGTTGGCAAAAACAGTGTAAATGGTGGGGCATTATACAAAATGTCCTAATCTTTGTAATCTCACCAGGCCAGACACAGACAACAGTAAAATACGTAGGTTCTAGCCCTTTCTCTCTCTATACAAAGCTTAAAACAATTGAGTGGTGCAGCTCACCTTAAGCTGGCCATACACAAGTCATTTTCCCCCAAGGCGGTGGAGAGCAGGCCTCGTGTCCCCCAAGGTGGTGCAGAGTGGACCTCATGTCCCCCAAGGCGGTGGAGAGCGGGCCTCGTGTCCCCCAAGTCGGTGGAGAATGGGCCTCGTGTCCCCCAAGGTGGTGGAGAGTGGGCCTCGTGTCTCCCAAGGCGGTGGAGAGCGGGCCTCGTGTCCCTCAAGGCAGTGGAGAGTGGGCCTCGTGTCCCTCAAGGCGGTGGAGAGAGGGCCTCTCCTTTGTCCCCGCTCCATTGCAAGCCACCCGCTTGCCACAAAGGGATTTCTTCTCGCATTTGGCGAGCAGGCGAGCGGAAATTTCAAGCCCTGGTCTACAAGTTATGGTATAGATAATGGAATTTACACAGCTTTTACTTTCTGACTGCCTATCACATTTCTTTAGGTGCTAAAATACCAGGACAGTACAAACACCCCAAAATTACCCCTTTTTGGAAAGTAGACACCCTAAGCTATCTGCTGAGAGGCATATTGAGTCCATGGAAGATTTATTTTTATTCCATAAGTTTTTGGAAAATGACAAAAACATTTTTTTTTTTTACACAAAGTTGTCACTTAAATTATATATTGCTCACACAAGGCATGACTATATGTGGAATTACACCCCAATATACATTCTGCTACTTCTACCGAGTATGGGGATACCACATGTGAGACTTTTTGGGAGCCTAGCCACATACAGGAGCCTTTTTTTACTTTAATGCACAAAAACACAATATATTGGCCAATTATTTGGTAAAATATAAAAGATGACGGTATGCAGAGTAAATAGATACCAAACATGACATGCTTTAAAAATGCGCATGCCCCATGCAATGGCAACAAACTGCATATATGTTTAATATCCTTAGGCAACACTTTAAAAGCCTTTACAAGCTACCATTTTAGATATACAGAGGAGGTCTAGTGCTAAAATTACTGCCCTTGATCTGATGTTCGCGGCAATACCTCACATGCATGGTGCAACCGCTGTTTACATACTGGCACAGGGTCAACGCTCGCGCATGCAGGTGCACGCGCATGCACAGGGTGGGGCAAGGGTGCTTTTTTTAAACGTTATTTTGATTTTTTAAATTATTTTTACACTGTCCCTTTAATTTTTCTTTTATTACTTTTATTGCTATCACAGGGAATGCAAATATCCCCTATAACTGCAATGGGCATTGTCATATATTGTTTTTTTTTTTTAAAATCTGGGGTCTATCAGACTCTAGATATCTCCTCTGCCCCTACATTCTTTAATCTTACCAAGATCGGTGTGATCAGATGCTTTCCCAATTTACAAATGGCGCTGTTTGTATCCAGCGAAACTGAAGTGATGAAATGCTTGTAGCTTATAATTTCTTAGACTATAGAGATGATTGGCACAATTCCAGTCTCCAATCAGCTGTATGGCCAGCTGGCAGAAACACTGGCTGCATTCTCAGGTTTCTCCGATGGCACAGGACTGCCGAGAAGGCTGTGAAAGGCAGCGGGGGAGGGGTGGCATCTTCTCCCGCTGCTTGTAAAAGCAATCCTGCAGCTAATTAGCCACTAGGATTGCTTTTAGGTGAAAGCAGATCGCCGGGTGTGAAAAAAATGATACCAGGATGATGCCTGTAGCAGCAGGCATCATCCTGGTATAACCACTCAAAGTCCAGTGATGTACCAGTATGTCGCTGGTCCTTGTTGGGTGTATATGCTATGTTCTTTTTTTTATGCAGCCTGTCTGCTGAATGAAAAAAAGAGAAGAAATCTCTGCCAGAAAAAGTGTGTGTGGTATGCCCACCATTAGAATATACCGCCCTGCATCCACCCACTTCTAATGGTGGGCACACATGAAATGTGCCAAAAATGTGCTAAAAAATATTCAGATGCAGCTGAATGACATCCTCATTTCAAAAGCAGGCTTTTTCCCCATTTCTAAGACGGGTATTTACAAGCCGTTAGGGGAAGCCCCGCCGATTAGGTCGCGCGGTGCCACATGCGCCAATTCCAAGATTGTACAAATGTCTAAATAGAGGCATGCTTGAATAAAAATTGTCCACGTATAAGAGGTACCCCATATGGAAAAAGGATGACACCATGTCCCAAACTATCTTGCCACTGCTCCCCATGTAGTCTGGGCATCCGGGGGGCTCCACATCACTATCTTTTCCGTCGTAATTCCGAAACTTATATTTATAGCCTATTGACCTCTCAAAGGTCTTATACATCTTGACCCCATATCTGGCACGCTTGCTGGGGAGAAATTGTTTGAATGCAAGGCGGCCAGAAAAATTATTGAGAGACTCATCAATGCAGATGTTTTGCTGAGGAGTATAGACATCTGCAAATTTTTGGATAAGGTGATTTACGAGGGGCCGAATTTTGTGGAGCCAGTCAAATTCAGGGTCACCCCGATGACAACAGAGTGTGTTGTAATTGAAATGTGGTCTGTGGACTAATACAACCGCAATTAATTTTTTTTTAGTAATGCCCATGTTGAGGGTTAGGCCCAAAATAATGTAAAATTTGGAAACCTTAATGGGTTTCCATGTGAATGGTCTGGCAAGGCTTGAATTTGGGTTGGATAGAGCCAAAGATGTTGACTCGGTCATGTGATCAGCTGTGTCCAATCACAGCTGATCGCATGTAAATAGGGAAATGCCGTTATCGGCATTTCGCTCCTCACGAGCTGTCATGCTGACAGCTCGAGAGGAGAGAGCGGGTAATCAGCATTCCTTGGAGGGGACATGTACACTGATCATCAGGGCACTGATGATCAGTGTGCCCTGATGATCAGTGTAGCCCCAGAAGTGCCACCTGTCAGTGCCCATCAATGCCAGCTGTCAATGCTCATCAGTGCCTCAATGCCACATATCAGTGCCCATCTGAGCTGCCTTTCAGTGTCACCTATCAGTGCCAGTCAGTGGCACCTATCAATGCCAGTCAGTGCCACCTATCAGTGCTGCCAATCAGTGCCAGTCAGTGCCGCCTAACAGTGCCAGTCAGTGCCACCTAAAAGTGCTCATCAGTGCCGCCTAACAGTGCCAGTCAGTGCCGCGTATCAGTGCCATATATGAGTGCTGCCTTTCAGTGCCCATCAGTGATGCCTGTCAATGCCCATCAGTGCCACCTACTAGTGCCTCCTCATCAGTGCCCATCAGTGCCACCTATCAGTGCCCATCAGTGCAGCCTATCAGTGCCCATCAGTGCAGCCTCATTAGTGCACATCAGTGAAGGAGAAAAATCACTTATTTACAAAATTTTACAACAAAAACTAAGAAAAAAACATGTTTTTTTAAAATTTTCACAAAAAAAAAAAAAAACCCAGAGGTGATTAAATACCACCAAAAGAAAGCTCTATCTGTTTCAAAAAAAATTATAAAAATGTCATATGGGTACAGTGTTGCATGACCGCGCAATTGTCATTCAAAGTGTGACAGTGCTGAAAGCTGAAAACTGGCCTGGGCAGGAAGGGGGTATAAGTGCCCTGTAGGCAAGTGGTTAAGGGGGTAGCACCACGTAATAACTGTTATTTATTTTTATACTTATAAAACAGGTATAATGCAAAATAACATGTAATACTTGTTTATATAAAAAAATATTTTACAGTTGACTTTAAATATGGATGAATACATTTTTTAGAATTTCAATGAAATATATGTTTACTGGAATGTATGTACATGTATATCAATTGAAGATATTGTGGCATACTTTCTGCAGTTACTGTAGAGTTTCTGTGGTTTATTTGCTCAAGCAATACAGAATGTTCTGTTACCAAAGTGAATATGATGAAGCAGTGTTCATTCTGAATACCTATTCAAGAGTAAGCTGGCCATACATTATACAATTTTTATATTCAATTTAATTTAATTTAGATTTACCTCAGCTACTGTATGTAATACAAGAACCTGCCTGATTACATACAAATTGAAAGTGTTTAGGTTTGACCTTATATTATATAGTTCTGGTAAATCCAAAGGAAAATTGGACAAGAAAATTACAGGTATATGATATATGGGCCCCTCTGAATGCCAGAACCCCTGGCAGGAGAAAAGCTGCTAAAAAGTGTTTAACCACCTCCCACCCGCCATATAGTAATATGACGGGTGCAAGGTGGTTCTCTCGTTCTGGGAGGGCATCATATGACGTCCTCCCATTCTCACTGCGCATGCCCGGCTCAGGGAGCGTGCAGCGTGGCAATCGGCGGTGCGCTGTGTCCCTCAAACACAGCGGATTACCGATCACGGAAAAAGCCGAAGATGTCGGCTCGGTCATGTGATCAGCTGTGTCCAATCACAGCTGATCACATGTAAACAGGGAAATGCCTGTTATCGGCATTTCTCTCCTCTCGAGCTGTCATGTTGACAGCTCGAGAGGAGAGGAGAGCCGGTAATTGGCTTTCTGCGGAGGGGACATGTACATCAGGGCACTGATGATCAGTGTAGCCCCAGCAGTGCCACCTGTCAGTGTCCATCAGTGCCTTATATCAGTGCTCATCAGTGCCTCGTGCCAGTGCCCATCAGTGCCACATATCAGTGCCTACCAGTGCACATCAATGCCACATATCAGTGCCCATCTGAGCTGCCTTTCAGTGTCACCCATCAGTGCCAGTCATTGCCACCTATCAATGCCAATCAGTGCCACCTATCAATGCCAGTCAGTGCCGCCTATCAGTGCCAGTCAGTGCCGCCTATCAGTGCCAGTCAGTGCCAGTCAGTGCCGCCTAACAGTGCCAGTCAGTGCCGCCTATCAGTGCTGCCTATCAGTGCCATATATTAGTGCCATATATTAGTGCTGCCTTTCAGTGCCCATCAGTGATGCCTGTCAATGCCCATCAGTGCCACCTACCAGTGCCTCCTCATCAGTGCCCATCAGTGCCACCTATCAGTGTCCATCAGTGCAGCCTATCAGTGCCCATCAGTACAGCCTCATTAGCACACATCAGTGAAGGATAAAAATCACTTATTTACAAAATTTTATAACAAAAACTAAGAAAAAAACATTTTTTTTTCTAAATTTTCAGTGGTTTTTGGTTTGTTTAAGAAAAAATAAAAAACCCCGAGGTGATTAAATACCACCAAAATAAAGCTCTATCTGTCACAAAAAAATGATACAAATTTCATATGGGTACAGTGTTGCATGACCGCACAATTGCCATTCAAAGTGTGACAGCGCTGAAAGCTGGAAATTGGCCTGGGCAGGAAGGGGGTATAAGTGCCCTGTAGGCTAGCGGTTAAAGCTGCATATTGCACACACATTTAGGCGCATCAAGCATATGAGCGTTAATGGATTCCATTTGCAGAATGTAATTTTATTCCAGCAATTGGAGTGCATTACTGCTCAAATGCTAGACATGTCTAGTATGTAGACATGTTTAGATGCATTTAGGCACCTTCAACATTTTTCTGCTCTTCGGGTCCTCTCCCAAATGTGCTTTTGTTGTTTTTTTTTTTTCAACCTGTGATTGCTTCTCTTCTAATATGTCTATGAATGGCTATGTGTGCATGGACACATAGGATTACATAGTGGCGTTTTTACAGGCGGAGGGAAAAAAAAAACCCCCAATGCCTGTAACAGCAGCTATTTTTTTATGTGCATGAGCCCTAAGGCTAGGTTCACATATGTGCGGGTGGTGCCGCTGCGGATCCGCACAAACATCCGTGCAGCTGCACCACCCACGCAGAAGAATGCGGACCTGCGGGCGTGTGCCATTAATTCTAATGGCATGCCGCCCGCAGTGGAAATTGCAACCGCACTGGGAACCAAGGTTCCCATGCGGGCTGCGTTTTCAGAAGTGCCCCGGGGCACGGGAGTCCATTCAAATGAATGGGCTCTCGTGCCCGCATAAAACGTAGACCGCAGGAATGCAGATATGTGAACCAGGGGTTAGTGAATATTTAAAACACAAGATTTTTGCTTCCATAATTAGATGATTGAAAGGAACACAGCTTCACCTAATCACTAAACTAATGAAAACATTTACTTTGCAAAGTAAAATTTGTCTGCCCTTTAAATAAATCAAACTCATTGGGTTGCTATTTCCCAGATACCCGGACATACGACCAACAACCGCTCTACTATTTAACATCAGCACTCTATGATCTTCCCAGCAGTCCGGAAGTAAAAGCATGTAATGCTGAACTTTTACAAAAGATGGCAGCTCAGCATTCCTTTAGATGTGCACGCTCTTTTCACACGCTTGCAAACCAACCTACAATGTTGAATTCTTTTGTGTTCAGTAACAATGAATAATAAACTTCTAACATTAATAGGACTTTATCTGTGTACTGTATATATTGTGAACATAATGAGTTAACTCTTTCATTTCTATGCATCCAGAATCTCTTTTAGGTTTTACTGCTCTCTGGGTTCCTGTTTGGGACTTTCTAAGACATTGGAGGTTGATTTACTAAAGGCAAATAGATTATTTCCTTTACAAGGGAATTAGCCGTAAAGCTTAGCGAATGAAGTGAACTTCTGCTGACTTCCAGCATCCAATCATTGTCAAGTAAAATTTTTTTTTATTTTCCTTGCACATGATTGGGTGGGAGAGCACAGTAAAGGCTTCTTTTTGGCAACTTGACCATACAGCTCATTTTTGTTTAGGAACTGTTGTATTGTGCTCCTTAAAAAAAAACACACCTGTGGTTACCTGTGGGTTTTTCTTTGTATCTCAAACAATTCTTTTGGCAGTTGTTGCTGCAGTCTTTCTTGGTCTACCCGACCTTGGCTTGGTATCAAGAGATCCCAGAACTTTCCACTTCTTAATAGGAGATTGAACAGTACTGACTGGCATATTCATGGCTTTAGACATCTTTTTGTATCATTTTCCATCTTTATAAAGGTCCATTACCTTGTTGCACAGGTCTTTTGACAGTTCTTTTCTGCTCCTTATGGCTCAGTATCTAACCTGCTCACTGCATCCACCTGAGAGAGCTAACAAACTCAAGAGTATTTATACACACACACACTAATTGCAATTTAAAAAGCCACAGATGTGGGAAGTTAACCTTTAATACGCCAATTTAACTTGTGTGTGTCACCTTATGCATCTGTACTAAGGCCAAAACATTCCAGGGTATGTAAACTTTTGATCAGGGCTATTTGGGTGATTTCTGTTATCATTATGATTTAAAAAGGAGCCAAACAACGATGTGCTATTAAATGGCTTCATATTATTACAGGTAATTATATAGCGCCATTAATGTGCACAGCGTTTTACAAACATATATTGTACATTCACATCAGTCCCTAACCCTCAAGGGGTTTGTGTTGCGTTTTTGTAGTTTCATTTTTCCTGCATTTTTGATGTGTTTTGCGGGGGGGGCGGGGGGGGGGTGGCGTCAGTGTTCCATTTTTTAATTTTTCTTGTTGCTAGGAGGATTTTAAATGCAAAACGCATCAAAAACATGGCAAAAACGCAGCAAAAATGTAATGCATGCTTTTCTGCAGCATTCCTATTGAATTCTATAGAATGCTGCAGAGTAGAAGCATGGTAGTGAGTAGAAGCATGAGTAGAAGCATGGTAGTGAGGAAGGTGGAGGGGAAGGAGGATTGCTGGCACTATAGGTGATGAGAGAAAGAAGTAAAGAAGTTAGCAGGCACCGTGGGTGGTGAAAGAAAGGGGGGTACTGGTGCAGAGGTTGCTGATAGAAGGGGGTTCAAGTACAGTGAGTTGCACGAAAGGGGAGGGGAGCAAGTGCAGAGAAGTGGAGATGTTCTCCAGAGGTGGAGGGCTGGGTACAGAGTTACAGAAGGTTATCTCTAGAGTGACAGATGGGGAGACAAGGTAAAAAAAGGGGGTAATAATAGAAGGGGGAGATGACAAGAGGAGGACATTGTGGAGGTAGCAATGGTTTGCAAAAATAGAAAGGGTACAGGGTAATCGAAGGGGGGTATAGGATGGCAGAAAGGGGACAAAGTCATAAATGGAGGTGTAAGATGCAGAAGGATGGTGATATGAAAGAGAGCGGTGCTGGTGGAAGTGTAAGATGGGGGAACATTGTGACAAAAGGGGAGATGCTCTGTAAGAATGTGTGGTGGCAGGAGGTGATGCTTTTGATTGCAGCATGCGTGTGCAGGTCCCCCCCCAAGCTGTCATAACAGTCCCATCCATGTGCAGTAGTGTGTGTACAGTATATTCCCATGCATGGCCAGTGTATTATCTCATCAGCGCTCTCAATGTTTCCATGCTCAGCGATGGTTTCTTCAGTATGGTGGATAGATCTGGCACATGCGTGGTTGTGACCAGTCTTTCCTACCACTACTGCGCATATTTCTGACATCACAATATGGCAACTGTATTCAACATGTGCACTATACCACTACTATATTTTGATGTCAGAAAGCATTGCACAACACAGAGCCATCGGGAACGACAATACACCATGCATGCGTGGGGATATTTGGAGGATGAAATCATGTATGCATGGTGTAGAAATCGTGCACACAGAGATGGACGCGGTCATCCATTTTGCTCCAAACCCTCCATCTTGTATCTCTCTCCCTCTTCCCTCATCCCCCCTCCCTCTCTGTTGAGGGACACGTGGTCCCTGGATGATCAGTTCAAAAAGGCATCAAGGCACAGCGGGGGGAGCTCCTGGCTATAAACCCCATATGTCTGCGAAACTCTGCTTGGAAAAGGATCGTAAAACCATAAACCAGTCCCTCGCTGAGCTTCAAAGACATTCCAGATAAGCCATGAACCAGACATCACATTCAACATCCACTTTCCCCTATGATTGCATATCTTGGAATATGAAAGACTTACATAAAAACCAGGCATATAGTCAGACCGGTCACTTTAATACAAGTCGTCTGATATATTACACCCCCTAGCTGACACAAACAGGAGAGCAGAAAATGATATCTCCTTAACCATCCCAGCAGGTATATCATATTTCATATCTAGACGTTCAGCAGATGATTTTGCGTATTAATCTACCCGTGGATAGAATGGTACATGTACCTAGGAAAAGTTATTGACCATAGTATAATTTGTGAGGAATTTGGTCACAGCCTGAGCTCTCCGCCTACAACACCCCTCCCCAAATGAGGCGATTGGTTCTCTGCTTTAAGGAGACACCCTGTTGAGTTCCTAGAAAAAGGCTGTTATGCTTGGAGCTAGCTAAGCTGAGTTGAGCTAAATTGAAGATTCTCCCTTTTAACATCGGAACTAACTTTGGGAGATAAGGCAACCTTTTGGCTCAGGAAACCTGATCTGCTTAAACCGGGACTTTTGGCAAGTACTTTATCTCCCTAAATTCCTTGCTGTTATCTCTTTGCTGTGTTATTGCTCTCTGTATATTTTATATATATATATATATATATATATATGTATTGGCTAAATCTTTTCTGTAAATATTTTTATTGCACCCTTTTGATCTTTTAGTAATAAATCTTACTTTCCGAAAGTGTTGAACTATTTCTAAAGCTCTTTAATGTAAACTAAGAATCACTGCCTCTGAAGAGCGCTACTGTGTGTTTTAAAACGTCTGCATACATCTGTCTGCGGTGACATTGTGTATACAAACGATTATTCAAACATCATAGTGTTATTGCTGATATTGCTAAGTTTCCTCTTTCTCTGTACAAAAAGGAGGTGGTGGCAGTGTGAAGGGTTAATTGCGCAATTAACCTGACCCAGTAACAATCGCTCTCAGGCTGCAGACACACAGAATTTGGTCCATTAGCTGGAAAATCTTTGTGCAGAGTGCAGCTGGGCGTGGCATTGTTACGCACGTGACAGCGTGGTTTTAGATTGGTTAGTCCTTCAGTCACGAGTTTTGTGAGAAGGCCTGGGGTCTGATGCCGCGATCATCACACATGGGGCGATTGTAAAATCCGTAAGCAGCTTAGGAATATGGCTCCTGTTATCTTGCATCTGGGGGGCTTATGTTTTTGCTGATATTATACATATATCATCTTAATGATGCAAACTAGCTGCCATATTGTTACCATTATAGAACCCTGGTGAAACCCTAACACTACCTTAGAGAAGTACAATTTCTAAGTACAATTTTTATTCAACCTAAGCAACATTTTATCTCTAACCAACTATGCTAAAACTAATCTTTTTTTTAATTAGTATTTTCATAATGACATTCCAATCTGCATGAAGGTGAAAAACCTTCAGTCTGCAGCCCTCCCTAATACTTAGCTGAGCTTGATCTCGATTCAGCAATGCGCACGAGAGCAGCGGCTCTCCTGGCTCTCTGCCTCCTCATTGGTTCAGAGACAGCAGCAAGAGCCATTGGTTCCCACTGCTGTCAGTCTCAGCCAGTGAAGAGGAAATGGGGGGACCCTGTTCGGTGTGTCAATGAACATACAGAGCATGGCTTGGAAGTGAGCATGCAGGAGTGCCCCCACAGCAAGCAGCTTGCTATGGGGGCACTCAGTGGTGGGGAGGGGCCAGGAGCGCCGACAGGGGACCCAAGAAGAGGAGGCTCCGAGCTGCTCTGTGCGAAGCCATTGCACAGAGCAGGTAAGTATAACATGTTTGTTATTTTTTAAAAATTAAAAACTAAGCCTTTAATATCACTTTTAAGTAGTATTAAACCCAAAAGCAAACATTTATTATATTATTATATTGAAGCTTACCAGTTCTTAAATGTGATGGCTGCATTAATTTTCTTTTTCAGGCTTGCTTTCCTTTATTTTTATCTGGAGATTTGGCCAGTACGTCTGTTGTTTTTCAAAACACCAAGCTCTCCAGCAGAATGTATCAGTTACAGAGATGAGGCTGGAGCTGGAGCTTGGCTTCAATTTGTTAGTGTATCTAAATCTGCTACTACTTCTAACACTCCCCTCTCCCAAGGCTGACAATGCTTCTGTCCAAAGGTGCCCCCTGTGCGCCTTCATCCAGAGTGGAGGCACCCTAATACAGGAAGTGTGTTACTGGCCAAGTTAAAACGGGAAAAAAGCCCTTTCACACGGGCCGGATCCAAGCGATGACAGGTCAGTGTCCGCTCTGCTTATGCAGAGTGTAAATGGACACAGCCTGCTCTGCTCTATGGACATTCGGATGTAAATGGACACAGCTGTCTGTTCACACCTGACTGCCCTATAATCTGATCCACCCAGACGGAGGGGAACAGGTCCCCTTCTCTTTTTTTTAGCAGACCAGATCAGACTGGGGGTAGCTGAGTATAAATGAACACAATGAAAAATGTCTGTTTACACCCACCACTCCATAGAGCAAAATGAAAGGTCCGATAGGGTCTGCCTGAAAAGCTGAAAGGTGGGCCCAATCAGACCACTTGTGTGAAAAGGGCCTAAAAAAAGAAAACTAATGCAGCCAACACATCTAATGATTGGTAAGCTTCAGTGTAGTACATTTTTAGTTTTGGGTTTAATACCTCATTAAACTAAGGGGGGAAATGCCATTTTACTTGCTGTATTATTCTTTTATAAACTGTAAGATGTATGGTATATCTGCATGGGTAACAACCTTTTTTTTCCATAATTGCTTTATGAGCTTTATTGAAACATCACAAAGGTAAATTCTGAAATGAGAAATATCACATACTCCAAAAATTGGATATAATGCAGTACATTTGGTAATGCACAAGCAAGTGAAGTAAGATGAACAAAAAAAAAGGAGATGACCAGAGACTGCGGACATACTACAGGAGATGACAGAGACTGCAGGAGATGACCAGAGACTGCGGACATAGTACAGGAGATGACCAGAGACTGCGGACATAGTACAGGAGATGACCAGAGACTGCGGACATAGTACAGGAGATGACCAGAGACTGCGGACATAGTACAGGAGATGACCAGAGACTGCGGACATAGTACAGGAGATGACCAGAGACTACAGACATGCGGACATAGTACAGGAACAAAGATGACCAGAGACTGCGGACATACTAGTACAGGACTGTGGACATAGTACAGGAGATGACCAGAGACTGCGGACATAGTACAGGAGATGACCAGAGACTGCGGACATAGTACAGGAGATGACCAGAGACTGCGGACATAGTACAGGAGATGACCAGAGACTGCGGACATAATACAGGAGATACAGACTGGGACATATACAGGAGATGACCAGAGACTGCGGACATAGTACAGGAGATGACCAGAAACTGCAGACATACTGAGGGAGATGAACAAAGACTGCGGACATAGTACAGGAGATGACAGGAGATGACCGAAGACTGCTGGACATAGCACAGGAGATGACCAGAGACTGCAGACATAGTACTGAGGGAGATGACCAGAGACTGCGGACATAGTACAGGAGATGACCAGAAACTGTGGACATAGTACAGGAGATGACCAGAGACTGCAAACATAGTACAGGAGATGACCAGAGACTGCAGACATAGTACAGGAGATGACCAGAGACTGCGGACATAGTACAGGAGATGACCAGAGACTGCAGACATAGTACAGGAGATGACCAGAGACTGCAGACATAGTACAGGAGATGACCAGAGACTGCGGACATAGTACAGGAGATGACCAGAAACTGCAGACATACTGCGGGAGATGACCAAAGACTGTGGACAGTACAGGAAATGACCAGAGACTGCGGACATAGTACAGGAGATGACCAAAGACTGCAGACATACTGCGGGAGATGAACAAAGACTGTGGACATAGTACAGGAAATGACCAGAGACTGCGGACATAGTACAGGAGATGGCCAGAGACTGCGGACATAGTACAGGAGATGACCACAGACTACAGACCTTTGGGGAGCGGGGGGCATTCACAAAGTGCGCAGCACTTCTTGCGCATGTGCAGTGGGCACCCAGTTGTGAAGCCCGCAAGCTGTCACAGCCGGGTGCCCACACTAAAGGTAATGAGGTGATGAGGACACCACTGGACCGAGGAACAGTTAAGACCAAGGAGCAGGTTCTGCTGCATTCTAACACGGCAGCAACGAGGGGAATACAGGACTGGCCGCTCCATATTCCCTCCATAAGGTGCACAGACATTTCCCCCCATTTTTTGGGGGGAAAAAAGTGTGTCTTATGGAGTAAAAAATACGGTCCGTTTAATGTTCCCTGATACAGCATCTTGTGGATCTTGCCCTGGAAAATACAAAACCTCTTGCGCTAGGGAATGGGATCAAAGGTCACAATGGATTATGGCTTCCTCCTGGCTTTCATAGATGACACTCGCCCTCAAAGGACTGGGGATGTCCAAAAACATTGTGACTGAAAAAGCAAAAAAGAGGGTGCACTGGCCTAGTGTCATTGGATGTGATGTTCTGTGGATTGGATGGTGCTGTTGTTGATGATGAGCCTTTGTCTCACTCATCTTTTGTGAGTATATTACTTACCACTTTTATACAATAAAATCGTGTTTAAAGGTTAATGCACGGCTCATGAGCAGCAGCCAGGATGGCTGCCTTTTGAATCTCTTCCTCGGCCGCCGGACACATCGGCCGATTTCTGACCCTCAGGGGGGGTCCTCTCTGCTCTCTTGCTGACCCCTTGTCCTCCCAGTACCCTGATGGGCAAGAAAACACCGGCCGCCCGCGCCTCCAGCACCTGGTGGGCCGTGCCAGAATTTGCGGCCTACCCACCGGAGGTCGCGGTTGCAGCCACGGCCTCGATTTTGGGCCGGAAGCTGGAGGCTTCCAGGATCTCTGCAACGAGTTTGCAGCTCCCGCCAGAGGCCGCAAATGAAGCCCGGCCTCGATTTCGGGTCCCCATCTGCCGCTACCCACAGGTGGGGCCGAATCCTAGCGGTGTGGAAGACCTGGCATCAGAGACATCCCTGCAGTCTCCCATTCCATCCTTGCGGGATGCTGAGCTCCTGCGCCACTTCAAATTCATGCTGCAGTCGGAATTGTCCTCCGCTACCTCCAAGCTGGCCGACCGTCTTTCGTGAGAAATTCGGGAGTTGGGCAACCGGGACGAACGATCTCGAAGATAAATGGATGGACGCTGTGGATTTGACGACCTCAAGAAATAATTGGCGGATGCGCTGCTATGGCTTGACGATTTTGAAAACCGTTCCCGCCGTGGCAATTTGCGGTTAAGGTTTTCCACGCTCCCCCCGGCTAGTCTGGGGATGTAATGGCGTTTGGTATTGGCGCTCTTGGACCCCTGCTCTTTGTTTTTTTTTGTTTGTTTGTTTTTTGTTTCTTCCTTTCTCTCTTTCTCTGTTTGTTTTTGATGTGACAGTGGACAGCTGCCTTTAGTTGTTATAGTCGGAGTTACATTAATGTTATTGTAACTTATGTGCCATTGATAGCACCTGCATGGGTGTGTTTTTGTTGCCTCTGTTTTATACTGTTTAAAAATTATTAAAAATTATTGAAATATAAAGGTTAATGCACTAGGCCAGTGCACCCTCATTTTTGCTTTTTCAATCTTGCCCAGGACCCTGCCCATGTATGTAATGTACAAGTAGATAGGGGACCTCCCAATAGTTCTGTTTCTGTTGTCCTGATGCAGCACAGGCATACCTCCCAACTTTTTGAGATGGGACAGAAGGACACTTATTAGCAGAAGTATGAAATCATAGGACACACCCCTGCCACGCCCACTTAAAGGGGAATATTCAAAATAAACTATTAGTTAAACCCACAATTGCTTTTTTTTATACCACTACTATTCCATTATACGGGCATTTGAAATTTACAAATTAAGCATTTTAAAAATTGGATGAAAGGTTTAGCACTGGGAAACACTTTTTGAAAGATAAATTGTGCATTTTATATATAACTATATTGATCAGACCAAAATGAGGAGGAAAGAGGGACAGAGGGACTTTGTTCCAAATCAAGGACAGTCCCTCGAAATCAGGGACAGTTGGGATCTATGCACAGGGAGGGAGTGTTGTCAGACAAGAAGGGGTAGATTTACTAAAACTGGATCACTCAGAATCTGGTGCAGCTGTGCATGGTAGCCAATCAGCTTCTAACCTCAGCTTGTTCAGTTAACCTCCCTGGCGGTATTCCCGAGTGTAGCTCAGGGTAACGTATCAGCACCACAAGCGGTAACCCCGGGCTACACTCGGGCTTACCATGCAACACTGTTCCAGGATCCCTTCTTCACTTACCTTGTCCTTCGCTCCTGCGATGTCCCCACTGCAGCGTCCCTGGCAATGTCCTCTGGCCGATGCTGGCATCTGTCTTCTGGGTTCCATTCCCTGCGACGTCAGGACGTACAGGGACAGAACTGGCAGTTAATTTGAAAGTTGTAAAAGTGACATTCACTAAATACACTAAAATCACATAGTAAAACATTACTGTATCAAACCATTTCACATACATTTTGTCCCGAGTGCTTTGTCCTGTGCCCTGCCTGCATTTTTACTGTTCTTTCTGCCTGGAAACTGAGAAATGTCCATGGCGTCCAAAAAGCGTCCCTTTAGGTCAAAAGCGGTTTTAGACCAGCTAGAGAACAGCGATAGTAAATTAGAACCACTTGCAGAATTGAGTGATAATGATTTGTGGGGAAATTCGTCATCAGACACTGAAAACGATTTTGCAACTTTGCTCAGTGATGTACGAACTTGGCACTATATTTCAAGTTTCAGTGTTTTTGGTTTGATTATATTATTGAATTAAATTTATTATTATTATTTTTTATGATTATTTATTAAATTATAATTAATTATTTCGTTTTTCAAATTTTATCATACCCGGGATGTTTACTAGACTCTTGTTCGGACAGATTTCAGTGAGTTATTCCTAAAAAATACAGGCCTACAATAAAAAAAATACATATTTCCATGCAAAAAAAATGTACCGCTTTGAGCACAGAAATATGGACATAATCAGACCGCTAGGGAGGCTACGCTTTGACAATAAAACCTGGAAGCTGATTGGTTTCTATGCAGAACTGCACCAGATTTGGCACTCTCCAGTTTTAGTAAATAACCCCAGAAGTTTATTAGTAGTAGACGCACCAGGTAAAAATAAAGGGGAAAAAAAAAAAAACCTAAAAAGAGAAAACTAATGGATCTGTCACATCTATGGATTGGTAAACTGCAAAGTAAAACATTTCATTTTTGAATTTCGATACACTTTAAGTGAGCGAAGGATTGCCAGATGTGCAGCACCACCTAGTGGGCAGAAATGTGCACAACTAAAGGGATGCTAGGGCTCCCTTTTCTCAGATGAAACCCGGAAAGAGATGGATGGAACCTGGGAAAAGTAGTAGAAGAGAGGCCTGCTAATTCGGTTGTACAGGACCCCAGCTCTGTCCATCACTAAGGGTGAGATATGGTGGGACAATGAACTAACCATCCACGCCCAACACAAATCCTATGTTTACTAACATCCCTGGCTTTCCTGATGATCTGTAAGCGAGCATGTGTGTATGTAGTCCTGTTATGTGTATATACAAACCAGCTAGAGAGCCTAGCTCACAGTATATATGCATACTACTCTGCTTGTTAAAGGAACACTATCACCCAAATAGTTTTGAATATGTTTTACATTTTAGTAGTATTGTAGTTATTTTCCCATATTTGCATGGTGTGTCCAGTGATATATTAGTAATCATAGATCTCAATGTGTAAAAACTTCTCTCTCACATTTTCACGTGCATGCCCTTCTAGTAGTCAGGGCCAGAGTTGGATTAAGGATGATCAGGGCCATAGGCTTCGGGCGCTTTTTCATAGAGCTTCAATTTTACAAATGCTAGACTTTTTTTTTTTTTTTTTTTGCTGTGCCATATGATCATTGTAACCATTCATTCTCTATCAATGTGAACTTTATTGTAAGTATCATCATGCATAGCCTAGTATTTAGACAGTCCCTGAAATTCTTAAAGAGTGACCTAGATACTCTTTAGAAATCTGTCTCGCTGTAGTGCGACAAATAATGGAACTTGCAACAGATTCATGAACATTTTGCTAAGTCCTATACGCATTTGTCACAACAAAACTTGCAAGAATCTCTTCTGCAAAGTTATGCAGACAAAGAAGTTATATGTAGACGCAGGGTGGATTTGATTTAAATCAAACTGATTTAAATCACGATTTAAATCACTAGTCAGTAAGGCTTGATTTAAATCATAGTTTTCTACATAGACTAATTCTTGCTGGTATAACTTTAATATGCAAGTAGATGAAGATTTTTAGAATAACAACTTTTCATATTAGTTTTTTTATCCCCAGTTTAATAGGTTAATCATTCACATTTGGACAACTTTTCTGTTGTACTTAGGAAGGAGAAAAATAATCATTACCTTATTATTAACAATTTAAATAGATTTATTCAACTGAAACAATAACATTCCAGCATATGTTATTTGCTTAAACAAACATCCATGTTTGTTAACTAATTTGGCTAAACAAAATATATATATTTTAAGAAACTTAGGCTGTCAGCCCCTTCCTCCTCACACTTAGCTTCACTTTCTTCTTGTGCAGATCTATTCCACTCCAAACAATCAGAAAAATACTGTTTCTATTCTATTCACTGAACTTCTTGAAACTTAGCACTGAAGGGGTTGATTCTGTATTCATAGGTTTGTAGAAGTTAGGATTAAGGTCTTTTTCTTAACTCTGTTCATGTTATAACATTTTGGTTGTGAAGAAGAGGCATCTGATCTCCGCTGAGTCAAATTCAGTTTTGAGAACTGCAAAAGTAAACCAAACATCTGTGATAATATCTTGTAGGCAGAGAAACTGCCCAATAATCTTACAAAAACCTCTGGAAGAGCATGACATTGTGAATGGATTAATGGAATTTATTTACCAAGAAAATTAAACATATACAGCCTTATTCTACATAATTAAAATACTAATCTTTATTTCATGATGGAATAACCTTTGGATGGTAATATATTTTCCTCAAAAAGCATTTTATTTAAAAAAATCCGATTTAAATAAAAAAAATCCGATTTAAATAAAAAAAATAAGATTTTTTGATTTTTTTAAAAAAATCATTGATTTTTATCCACCCTGTGTAGACGTTGAGAAAGTAATGGAAAA